ACCATGCAGATCTTACAAATAATGCTGTTTAACACTGAAACATCAATCTCAGTTGAAATGCATGGAAATTATAACAATGTCCTTAAAGATCAGAGTAAAAGAGCAGTGTGACCATTAGCTGGTAGTATGGCAGACAAGAGATGGCTTCTAACACTGAGAGAAAAAGGTTGGTCCATAATGAGAGCAGTGTGAGGACAGGATGGAAAAGGAGTAATAAAATGTAAAAGAAAATCTGAAACAAGTCAAAGTTTTCTTATGTCAAACTGTAAAGAAAAAGTGGAAACAAGGGCACGTGTCTGAAGTTAATCAATAAAGACACCAGCAAGCGCTGCTGATGAGTCACAGCTCAAGATGTTCACACAGTGGGAAAAAATGCAATATTTAGCTCTAAACATCTGAAAGGTGACACAGGTGGGCGTTTTATCACAGGAACATTTTCTATGTTCTGATTAGGTTGCTTTGTTGTACGTTTTCTTTACAGTACTGGCTAAGTGAATAATCTCTTTCTGTTATCCAGCCACAATAATTAAAAAATACCTCCTCAGACTGATATTAGTTTGCTTATCAGCTGAACGAGAATCCTCTTCTTAGTCGGAGGGAGACAGTGTTTCATAATCAGCTAACTGCTTCCATTTGTATCATGCATGGCCCTCTGTGAAGAAATGGAGCTCGATTTTCATCTTCATTTATTTTCCATTTCTTGGGGACACACGGAAGGAGATTAACAATGCACAACATCTCCGATCTCATCGTATGCAATTTGGGTAATGCGGTCATCATCCTCGGGCTTTACTTATTTCCCAGTAATGAGAGCAAATCAACTCCCAGTCTGCTTGCCAGTGACGGCAGCTGGCAAAGAGGACGTTACTTCTGCAGTCTGTGTCTCTTTCACCCCGTTCTTTCTGTGCACTTTGAAAGGCTATTCTCTTCCCCCACCCTCCCCCCTCTGCATGTAGCTCATGAGCGGCCAACAGCACAGTTAGCTTTGGTCTGATATTTAATTAAGCCTTCGAGGCTGCGCCATGAGGGGGAATGCTGCCTGGTAAGGGACAGATGCGGGCTATGCGCCAATCCGGAGAGAGTAAGATGAGGCTACCATCTGCAAGGAGAGAGAAAAAGATCAGGGTGGCCCTCCCCGACACTCGTGTGCTGTAATGAAAGTAATGCGGCGGCTAAATGGGGAAGACTAATCAAACTCTTGGGAGTAAGGAGAAAACAAACACAAGCCACGAACAGCTACAATCAAACACAGCCAGTCTGAGTCTCAGCCTTCCTATGGATAAATACCATTAACACCAGAGGAAAGACAGTAAATAAAAAAAATAAATAAATAAAAAGCAGTCAAACCCTCAACATCTGTGCTCGATTATGATGCCAGACAGTGCTGATTGCTGTCGAACAGGTGGAATCTGTTCTTTAGAAGAAGAAAAAAAACAAAAGAGGCCGGAAATGTCAGTCTACAGGATCATTAAAACAAGTAGCGTAGGCACAATTATACTTTCCCAGTATAGAGCTATTTTACGATAAGTAGGAGAAAAAAACGAAACAATCTGCACCTCCATTTGCTTCCATCTAGAAGCACATAGTGTACCTTTAAATAACTTCAATTATGCTGTCAGCTGCATATTGATGTCAAGAAAGCTAGTGACTGTCGACTCCAGTTTATGAGTCACTTTGCCGCAGTGATTTTTGGCTGTGTCACAACTATGTATCAGTAATATTGTGAAAATGGACTCATAATCTACTACAGCGCCATAGGCAACGCAGGAAACTAATGATCCGAAACAAAGAAACCATCTAATAAGCTTTACTAATTGTTTAAGCACAAAAGTGAATATGTGCGCCGGGTTTTTACCTTTCATGTGTATTAAAAGGCAAATTTAGGGCCAGCGCTTAGTTCTGTAAAATGCTTAGTGTAATGGCCTTATCAACACATTTTATTTTAATTACACTTAGGCACCATTAGGGCAAGTGCACAGAGCAGGTCATGTTTAATGACTGCTTGTATAATGATTTCATTTACGACTCCCATTTCCAGAAATGCTGGAATGCGATGTAAAATGTAAATCAAAACAAAAGGAAATCATTTGCGAGTCATTTAAAGCCTACATTTAATTAAAAAACAACAACACAGAGACAAATCATCAAACTTTCTTTGGTTTTTTTAAGCTGTGCTCATAAATAACTTGTTAACGGCAAAA